CACAATATTATGAGTTTAAAGTCATAATATTATAAGTTTAAAGTCATAATATTATGAGTTTAAAATCACAATATTATGAGTTTAAAGTCATAATATTATAAGTTTAAAGTCATAATATTATGAGTTTAAAATCACAATATTATGAGTTTAAAGTCATAATATTATAAGTTTAAAGTCATAATATTATGAGTTTAAAATCACAATATTATGAGTTTAAAGTCATAATATTATAAGTTTAAAGTCATAATATTATGAGTTTAAAATCATAATATTGTAAGAAAAATACGTGTTCAATAGACTGAAGTCAATGAAAACCACCACTGTTAAATAAGCTGATTTTTAGGAATTAAAACCATACAACACCAGAACTCTGGAACCGAGCGAGTTTATTGCCACCGGAGCTGAAAGGAAACCACACTGGCCAAAAGCCAGGAAGTGCATCAATTTATACACGATTCTTCAATGCCTGAGTTCACCCCCCTACTGACCTACGGCTGAATCACAGGCATTCATACAAAAGTCTCAATCTAATGTTATAATAACGTTTCAATTATGTGTTATTTATAATTCGGACATGTAACTTCTCTATATCAATCAACACATAACAGATTAAACATTGTCAACATTAAAAAAGGAAAATCTAAGAATATAGTGTTGTGCTTCTAACATCAGTACTAACCTGTAATAACTATAAATTTCTTCAATATTATGAGTTTAAATTCATAATATTGTAGCCTTTACATGAAAAAGCATGCAGTTACTGCATTAAAATGAGGAATGTTGAGCATTTTGTCAAGTTGTTCTTTAGCATTGCTTTAAATAAATAGTTAATCTGTTAGCACATTAGCATCAAATTGTCAGTAGCAGGACTTAGAAATTGTGCAAACTATAAACTGAAGCTGTGTTGTAATTAATGGATGCACTGACGGATTTAGTCGTCACGTAGTTAATTTGGATGAAAGCATATTAATCTAACAGTAGCTACCTGAATCATCATGGACTACTTTATAAACACAGAGACATGGCTGTACACAGCAGGTGTGAGGAAATGAGGAACGGGAAATGATAATGACCTTTATCTTGTAATATTAATCTCATAAAATAATGACTTTATTCTCATAAAATTACGACTTTAATCTCGTAATTATAATAAAACAATCTCGTGTGGCCCTAATACTCCGTCGTAGCTTTATGACGAGTCACCTGTTGTTGTTTTTTAGATCATGTCTTATTTGACTTCCCCTTTTATCGTCCGTCACTTTTCCGAGCTCCAACATGACCTTTTTGTCAACTTGTCCTTCCCCGCACCCTCTGATCAGGTGTATTCAGTCTCGGTGTGCCTGTCGATGACCTCTTCTTCATTGGAAGCCAGCTGGTGGCCACGAGTCACACAGGAAAGGTTGGCGTGTGGAATGCCGTCACGCAACACTGGCAGGTAAAGCTGCGTTGAGATAAGAGGAGGAGGAGCAGAGCGGGTTTTTACTTCTTCTACTTGTGTCACAAATACAAATACGAGTTTTCAGGGGGGATTGCCTCTGTAAGCATATTCTCATCAATACAACACATTTCTGTAAACTGAGTGCTTGTGGTTTTTACAATAATTCCTAACAATGGGCCTCATGCAAGAACCGTTTGTACGCACAGATTTGTTCTTAAATTGTGCGTACGAGTGATTTAGGAGAATTTGTGGCATTCACCAATGTTTTCATATTCTACGATTTTTTTCAGATACGAACAATATTCACGAGTGGTTGAAAGGGTTTTTCTTTATTATATTTCATTAAAGTTCATTGTGTGTGTATC